CTCTGCGGGCGGCGCGGCGGAACTGCAGGAGGAGGCGCGGAGCGGGGAGCCCGCGCTGGGTCCCTGTGTCATCTCGGGCTGTAGGACCTGGTCGTGTTAGGGTGGGGAGAGATATAACACCTTGGAGCTTTTTGTTTTCAGTTGACATCTTCCTTCTCTTCTTTAATTCTAACAGTGTGAGTAATATTGTTATCAGCAATTTAGATTTTCCTTGACAGCACCTGTAACTGAACAAAAGTTCTCATCCTTCAATGTTTTATGGCCTTTACTGGCAACTATCAGTAAAGGTAGCATGTTTGTACATACAAAAGTGATCCGAGTTTTAGCTGAGAAGATGCAAAATTGGCTCAGGCCTGTATATAGAACATCTTCTTTCCTTCTTCAGCAACTTGATCACCCTACAACACTTTTTTTGAAAAAAAAAACCTGCCCATGCCTGACATTTGGAATCAAATCAGTGCATCATCTGTCACTAGAAAGCTGAAGAGTGAGTGTTAGCATTTACCTTAATCCCCATGTGGAAAGAGATAAGAATTACAGACAGGGACATATAATACATGTTTTTGCTTCATTTCTAGTACATTTTTTGCAAGTTCCTGAAAGACATACTGGGGGTGTCAGTTGACAGTAGACACTTGCAGGCTGGAGGGAAAGGGTAAGGTGGGAAAACATCAGTTCTTTACTGCTGTTCCATCTGTAAGGCTGTCCTGTAATCTGGAAAGGTTGAGGGACATTAGTGGATAAGAAAATTATTTTGCTTGTTTTCTTATTGTTTAGTTCCTGCTCTTCAGTTTAGCCTTTAATAAGCACGGAGTGGGAATGAACAAGACAATCCGTCTTTTGCTGCATGTTGCATGACAATTATAGAATTTACCAGCTTCATGGTGGTATTGCCAATATGGGAAATACTCAGAGTTCCCACTTGGACAATGAAATATGCAACAGATATTTTTACATTTGCATACAGTTACAACATACAGTCTTGTGCTTATTAAACTTTTTAACAGCTGCTGATCCATGATTTTTCAAAAGTTCTGTAATTGCCTTTGCCCCAACAGGCTGCTATTTTCAGTTCTCATATATTTCAAAAGTTTCTTATATATTTCTCATGTATATGCATGTGTGTGCATATATATATCTATATATCTCAATTTATGCTATTCTTATACTCATGGTGAAGAGGAATTAAAAATGCTTATGCAGTTTGTATGGGCTAAATGGAGCTATTTTAGGAGTCAAAAGGCTTTACAAAGCTAATGTGTGACAATCAGAAAAAGTTTTGAAGCAATAGATAAACAGAGAGGATTTACATCCAATCAGGGTTTCGATACCATGGATCTGTTTGTTTAAGGAGAGCAACTAGTATTTTGTCCTGAATCCATCAGTTAGAGGAGAAACTTGAATCCATTTTTAGTTTGAGATTCCCTAACATTCTAGTAAAAAGATTTTAGTTAGGGATAATTAGTGTTAGCTTTTGCTTGGCTATTTCTGCTATTTCTGTTTCTTTTTATTAAGAGTTAATATTATTATTTAACACTGGCTACTTTTCAGTATCTCCTGCAGTTTCTGAATGATGTAATATCTAGATTTGTTAGAAATGGAGCCTTTGCAGGATGCTCTGAACTTAAATTTTTACCTGGACTAAATTTTAAGAATTGAGTTCTTCTGCAGTGCATCACTAGCTTGGCTTTCTTCCTCACCTCTCTTGAAGTGGTGATGACATAGGATCAGCCATATAAAAGGCTAGTTTTTGACTTAGCTGTCATGACTATCTGTGGATGGTTTTGTTTGAGCAGCTTTATCCTTCATGAACTGAAGAAAGCAAGCTATTTACTGTGGAAGATTACTTAGTTTTTTGGTACTGTTAGTACCAGATACTAGTTTTCTGATACTAAGGTCTTCACCCACAGAGTCTGTTCATACAGTGCTTTCAGAGACTTCTTCTGAAGGATTTCCACTATTAATGGGAGGTCATTTGCCGGCCAGTATTCCAACTTTTCTAGGGCTTTATGAAATAAAAAAATAGAATTAATTTTACAGTCCCATGGCCTTTCTTGGTTATGTATTTGGAGAACTGTTTGCAGCAACTTGTGGAATACTGATACAACACTGCCATGGAAGAGACATTAAAGATCATTTAGTTCCAACTTCCCTGTTGTAGGCAGGGACATCTTCCACTAGATCAGATTGCTCAGAGCCCCATCCAGCCTGGCCTTGAATGCTGCCAGGGATAGGGCATTTACAGCTTCTCTGCACAACCTGTGCCAGTGCCTCACCATCCACTCTGTATGGCATGATTGCATGATCTTCCTTTTTATAATATTTGCTAAAAGGCTTCCTATTAATTACTGAAAATGAAGCAGCTTTATGTAATGATTCTGTGCTTGGAGTGTAACCACTGAGGAATGATTAGCAAGCAGAAGATTTGCCTTCAGATGACTTGTGTTTTTTAATTCAATGAATAGAAGTTAAATTTTTGTTGTCTAATCAAAAGACTTTAATACTACTTAGTAAACAGCTTACTCTCCTCCTCAGTCAGTTGCATTTAACTGGTATGTCAGGATTCAGGCATTACTCATCCAAAAATGACTGGCACACTTTCCAATCTTACATGGTCTTATTTTCAAGGAGGGCAAGATGGTTAAAAGTCAGAATGGAGAAGTGTACATTACGACTGTGTGGTGTGTTCCTGTAATCACTGTAAATCTGAGCCATTCTAATAATGTTAAACTTAGTATACTACCAACCGCATCATCAGTTTTTCTAGGATTTAGTAATTGTGAAAAACAAATCTTGCAAGAGTGTTTACTTTCGGACTTACTTTCCGAGTCTTTGATGTAGAAAACTCATATCAATTCTCTGCTGCTTGCATGGGGAAGAGATAGTAAGGACTCTACCTGATTTCTGTGTAGTTTCTCTTCAGAAATTGTCTTTTAGGCATTTAAGATGATGTTTTTCCCTTTTCTTCAGTTTCTAAGAGAAGATATGCAATACAAGGATGCCTCAAATAAACATAGTCACCTGCACAGAGAAGACAAGCATATCACCATTGAGGATCTGTGGAAACGCTGGAAAACATCTGAAGGTAGGTAAAGAAGTATTACTGAACATGATGGTGGCTATTGACATAGTTATAATTCAACAATTTTTCCACCAAATATAGAGTAGTGAATGAATGACCTCTTGAAACATCTTCATGAATCTGTTTTGACACTGTTATTTATAGGCACACATAGGCCTAAGAACTTATTTAGTCTAGGCAGAGGTAATTTCCTCTTCGTGTGTTTTGTGTATTGTGACTAAACTAAGATAGCTTACATGAGGTTCTAATTTATCAAGGTGACTGGTGTAAGTGGTGAATTCCAGATTAGCATATTTAATAGTTTAATAAATCCTAAGGGTTTCTTTCAAGCTGTTTTAAAATATTTTTTTATATAGTATTAAGTGGAAAATTCAATGTACTTTCACTTATTTGAGCTACAAAGGTCTAGAATTTAGTCCAAAGCATTTTTTAAAATCTTAAATTTGGGATACAGTAAAATGTACTGACAACCCAACACCCCCAGCCCTACCTCACTTTGATTTAAATGAATTAAGTAAGTTGGGCCAACTATTCCAAATATCAAAGGACAGCATTTAATCAACAGTACAGTGTTCATTGCCAAATATGTCCCAGGATATAGTGATTAAAAAAGAAATCTGGAACATTAGAATCGTTAGGAGAAAAATACCTAACTTCCTCTCCCCCTTCCCCACCCCACCCCTCATTCCAGAGGTGCTGGGCTGTCATGGTTCTGGCCAGGACAGGATTAGTTTTCAGCAGTAGTCAGGAGGGGGCATAGCAAAGGCCCGGGTGTTATCCTATACCAGCTCACATCATTGCTGGGAGCCTGGGAATGGGAGTCTCTCTCTCTTCCTGGGAGAAGAGGCTCATTCTGCTTGAGAAACGTGGGGAATGGACCCATCTGGTATTTGTTTATTGTCAGGGGCTTTCCATGTGAGTATTTTTCTTTATTTTTCTTACACTTTTTGTTACTGTATTGCTCTTTATTTTGTTATATCTAATTGCTATTAGTGTTCATTTTCTTATCTCATTGCTAGTGTTCATTGTTCCTATTTCAACCTGTGATCTTTGCCCTTTGTGCCTCTAATTGGAGGGGGAGGGGAAACCACACACATGTTTTTAGAAGGACTACTAAATTGGAGAATGCCATTCCTAAACCACAACATGTTCTAATGGTGAGCATAGAGAGATCTAAAACTTGGTATGGGTCAAACAACCAAAAGTAAGACCAGGAGAGGAATGGAGCCAGGATTATGGCATTGGTTCATTCTGCTAATGCAGGAAGTCACTTAAGTGCATGCTGAGGTAATGCATGAAGTGTTTGGTGTATAGTAAATACATGTTTTAACCAGTAACTTTTGGCCTCATCTCTTCAAATAGTCGTTAAATACTTATTTGCTGAAGATCCAGTTCCCTGAAAATATTTCAACTAAATTATCAGAAAAAATTATCGTCTCCTCAAAACTGTTGGTCTAAGTCATGTATAACTCTTCAAAAATTTAGGTGATAATGATTCTAGAAGTATAGTTTATCTGTTGTGTTTATCTTTATTCCAGTTTTCTTGAATGTAGTGAGTAAAGTGAATAAGACTCAGAAGACTTGGAGTGTCTCATCTCGTTGTGTCTGCTTATAGTGGCTTTATTTGTGTATCCTGCTGAGAGAACTGAAATTGCACCTCAGGGAGACCTTTAGAATGACACTCCCAAGCAGTGGTTAACAGTGGTCAGCTTCATGTTACAAAGCATGAAGCCCCTCAGAAAATTAACTATTTTAATTTGATTTTAGGTGACATGGAAAATGTATCCATTCATTTCTGTATGTTTTAGGAATTTTTGATTTATTTGTTGCTTATGTGCTACTAGTTTATAGCAATTTGACAACATTAACAAGAGGATGGAAGATTGTTTAAAAGTCTCAAATTACTAATACTGTCATTTACACTATCTGTTGAGGTATCTGTGTGAGAATTACAAAGTCTAGTGCTCTTGACAGTTTCTGTTCTTATACAGAAATATCTTGATCTACTACTGCGTAGTTTATGCTGAGCAGAATTTGCCCATTCTTTGCCATAAAGCTTGCTTTATGTGAATGTTTGTCTTAAATATTTGTCAAATAGCTTAAAGGTGTTCTTTATTTAACATATTGGTGGTGCAAGACAGGTAAGATTTGAGGGAAGAAAGCAAAAAATGCCATTGCTGTTTTTGTCTCGTTTTAGGATTAAGGAAAATAGAGATGGCTTTTAAATAATTGAGAAGGATTTTATACACTGAATGTAACACTGAAGATTGGTTGCATTCAAAGCGCTAAAAATTGGGTAATAAAAAAGAGGGCTTCAGAATATTGCTTTCTAGTATTTCTGGCACTGGGCAGGTTTTTGATGTCCCTACCTGGTGCAGAAACCTGAAAGTATAGTCTCTGCTGGTGCAAATTAAAGGAAGTTCAAGGCTGTTACAGGTTTTACCTGCATGGAAGGAGTCATATGCTTGAATCAGCATCCAGCCTATTGCTGCTGTGTTGCCACTCAGTTTAAAGGGCTCATTTGGTATAAAACAAAACTGTAATTTAATTTAGTTTAGTTAGAATGTGCTTTTTATGACCTTTGAATTTTTTTAATGTCATTATCTAATTCTACAGAGTGCTCTATTTAGAGGAGTGACTGTGAACTATCATAGCTGTTTAAAACACAGAAGATGCTTCCCTCTGAAAGTCTTTTGATTTCAGTTACTGTGTGTTACTGTTCTTTAAATGTAAATGCCAGTATGTGCTTGTTGTATGCTATTCTTTGACTGTCTCCTCTTCTAACTAAGCAGTATTTATGCATGTACTACAGAGTCTTTCAGCTCTTCAAAACTAACACTTGATAGCTACTGTTAGGTTAATATCGAAGGAGCATCTTCAGTATTTTTTCTGCAAGAGCCTTGAAGAGGTAGTAGTTTTGAGTGTGGAAAAGGGGACAGGTGAACATTTGGTTTGATGTCCAAATACCAGTCTTTATACAATGATCTTTGGGAGTTCTCTCACTCAATGGCACCTGCCTTCTCTTTTTGGCCCTGCAATGGGCTATGGTCATGTGAATTTGCTGTCTAAAGAATGGGGCATAGGTGTTTAGTCTCGGTAGCAAGGAGGCTGTAAAATCAGTCCAGGCCTTCAGCTGAGTAGGTCTTTGACCTGTCTCAGTGAGTAGGGTTGGGTGCTGCATCCTCTAGTGATGTAGCATTGTCCCTTGGGACTTGATTTTGTAATGAACTAAAAGCTGCTGAGGTCAAATCTGGAGTTCATGGATGCTTGGCTATTGTCAAGACTAATTTGAATCCTCTCAAAACCTAGTTGTTACAAACATCTACTACAAAGTAGCTTGTTTCTTTTTTTCTTATTTTTTATCATTATGGCATGTTCGAGCTTTAATATATAGTATCTCCTATAGACTGCACTATAATACAAAAAAAACCTTCCCATTGCCTTTGTACCTTTTTTCTTCTGCCTTTAGTTCTCTTTCCCTCTGAAATTAGGAGGTGAACTAATGTCTGGTACATTATTTATCAGGGTAAAAAGATACAAAAATAGCTCTATATTTGCATGTGTGATCACCTGTTGTATTCTGATGTACTACTGCACAAGTGTTCTTGCAGCAGCTGGGACTAAACTGCATACCATAAACTCTTGTGGTTGCCTTGCTCTCTAATTATTTGCTGTCTTAGGTTTTAAATATCTGGAGGTTGGAAATTCATGCAAGCAGGGCTTGGCTAAGGATGAGTTATGTAATGCTGCACACTGCTGAAGGTCCTAAAAACTAAGTTTTTTGAATCCTTTTGTGTGATAAACTTAACATGATAAATTTAACACAAAAACCTGGTAAATAATGATTTTCTAATTAAAATGGGTTGACAATGAGAGACTTTCATATAGGGCTGGTTTACAGTTACTTTTGCTATCTTCACCTTCAGGTATGTTGGTAGAACAGTTGAAAAGAAGTAGGAAAAACCCCCCAAAACTCAAAACTTTGTGATCTAAAGTGAAATAGCTGATGGAGGTCTAGAGACTGAGTGCTGCTCTGGGCTGTGAACGCTGTGCCTTCTATACCTGCTTGGCCAAAGCATGTTCCTGACATCCTCTCTCTCAAGGCGTCTCTTTGTGAAAAGAGGTGTGAGAGAGAAGGATGTTAAAATTACTCTGTAATGCTAAATGCATTTAACTTACACTAATTGTGACTTGCTACTCTGCTGTCTGAAGTACTGCTTTCTTTCTTAGTGATTGTACTGTGGAAAAATTACAACCTCAGCTAATTAGTGGGAGTTGGCACATTCTAATTGGCAGTGCTGATCAAGATGAATTGCAGCTGGCCTGCTTGCCCTTCAGTACACCTGGTGTATGTCACACTTGCCTTGTGTCATGTTTCACTGGACTTTAAGTGTTTCTTGTGGAGAAAGGCCAGTTTGCTTTTCAGTACTTCATGCTGTTGCAGGACAAATGTGTGTATGTCATGAAGTCTTATTGGAGACAGGTAATACTCCCTACCAACTTATGGCAGATATCAACAAAAAGAGGCGGTCCGAATGTTTTCACTGATAGAATAGGAAAGGAAGAACAGTGTAGTTTAGAGTCTGACTCCACCTGGAAAACTTGGGCACTTTTAGGGGCACTGGAATTCTGTGAATGAAGAATTAGTTTACATAATAAAACTAAATTTCTAGCAAAATATGTATGTGAGAAGAGATTCAGATCTTGACACCCCAGAATAAGAGATGACAGTATATATTCATATATTCACCAGCTTAAATGGTTGAGTGGTCTGTTAAAGGGATACAGCATAAATAAAGAAGTAATTGATTTTATTTTCTAATAAATGAGTAACAGTATAAGAGTACGGAAAGTACAAGTTTCAGTTCTACTTTAGGATAGACTGTAGTTGCTTCTTTTTGCAGTTTCTGTACTAATACTAATGGAGGTATCTGATACAGTGATAGATAATGAATAATAAAGTTCTTTTTCCAGAATATAACTGATTTGTTTGGGAAAATTTCCTTCATAGTCTATGAACAAAATATTACACCAGTCTAAGCAGTGCAACAGATGTAATTTGCTCTATGGTAAACCATTTAAATGTGTACCTAATTTCTTTTATAATAATATGTTTACTATTACTACTGGATTGTGGAAACCTATAAATTTATGTAGAATTTGGCAGAGTGTCTACGAAAATCTTTTAGCAGTAGAAGTGAAAAGTCTCAATGGTATTTTTAACCCTTCCCCCAGCTTAAAGACTCAGTGAATTGTGTGGCTTCTGAAATGGAGTGTTCTGTACTGTCAGTGATAGTCTGTAGTGTGTAGTGGCTATTTTTGGTGGTTTTTTTCTCATGTCACAATAAAGCAATGCCTTTATTTTAGATCAGTCTATGAACAAAATTCTAGAATGCAGTTAAAGGGATATTTTTCTGGATGATTTTTGGGACTTGTAATGAGCAGTCAAGTGACTTTGATTTGTAAATCTGATTGCTTATTATTTACCAAACAGTAAAGAATCTTTGCAGTGGGAAAACTACCTGTTTATAAATGGAACCCAGACATTTTGCATAAAATTTAGAGGAATATGACAAAACTAAATCTGTTTCAAATCAATACCTGACTGTATCTCACAAGGAGAGAAAGAAAGGGGACAGCATACTGGCAAGGTTGTGTAGCCATTCATATGGTTAGATAACAAGAGGTTTGTACTGTGAGTTTGTTTCTTGAAGCTGTGAGTCTGTGAAATGTGTTCTGTCTCTGCCTATCTGGAATGATAATCTAAAATGTTTAAGCTTATTTTGCAGCTGAGCTAGTGTAGACAGGAGACCTAGAAATCCTTATTTCAGTTATACTGTGAATTGAAATATGAATTTGAACTCATAAAAATTTCCATTGCCTGCAGCTTTACCTGTCAAGCTTTCAGCAGTGCTTTCTAAAGGATTACTGTCAAAAATCACCACTGAGAATGTGTCCAAGTGATAATCTCTGCCCAGCACTGTCACATGCAAAGTAGTTCTAGATAGAGAAATGTTCAAAAAACCCCCCAGTTTTTCATGTGAATACATGTTTGTCCAGAAGGAGGCAGTCCCTGTTTCTTTCATATGCAGACAGACTTTTACAGAGTGATAAATGGAGTGAACAATTTCCCTTCAATTTTGTCAGTGTGAAGCTGTAAACTGTAGCAGCTGGTTTGTAAGGGACAGAAATATGATATTTTTTAATTTATTTTATTTTTTGTACTATCTGTAGGTAGTATTTTTTTAGCGCATCTGTAGCTGTGAATGTTTATGTTAGAACGTTGCTGTTATTAGGGAAAATTGTTAATTATTCTCTACATATTTTAAGTAATTTTTCTTCGAGTATTTTTGCATGTAATTCTACTTGGGCATGTTAGAGAGATTTAATAGTTTTCCTGTTAAATTTCTTCTGTCTTTTGGTGTTTTCTTTCAGTCTCCTCTCTTCTTCTATTGTCAGCTCACATTTTGTGGTTAGTTAGCAAAAGCCTCTAAGAAAATTCTTGTCAAAACAAGTTCTAAGATCTAGGTGCATTGCCTCAAATGGTTACAGCACCAGCTGATGTGTGTTTAGTTCTGCAAGGGTAGCAAGGACAGAGGGTTTGAGGCTGGAATCGGTTTAAGTAGATGAAAGCCACAAGATGCTGTCCTGATTTAAACTAAAGCAAAAGACTAAATTGTTCTGTGAAAGTTTTAATAAAGAAATGCTGGTTCCATACTTGTTTATTTATAATTTGCCTAAGCTTTCACAGGGGAGCATGTAATGAAAAAGGCAAAATGCCAGAAACACTTTGGTCATGCTAATTTTTCTGGAATTATATTTGGCTAAACTTTCTTGGTTATTGTAACCTGCTTTTCTACTGCTTGTCTTCTAAGCTGTTGATTTTTATAAAAACCTAAGGTAATTGAAATTTTTTTTCAGTTCATAACTGGACTCAAGAGGACACTCTTCAGTGGCTCTCAGATTTTGTTGAATTGCCCCAATATGAAAAGAATTTTAGAGACAGCAATGTCAATGGAACAACACTTCCCAGGTGAATATAACTTCTAGATTAGTTTCAGATGATTCTCCTTGGGTTGCTGCATTAGTCTGTATGGTAGGAACAGCTGTGTGAACCTAAAATCTAACAAGATACAGTCAAATGCAAGAAAAGAGAAGTGTCCTTGCAGTTTTGAAGAGGTAGCTGCATTTTTTTTTTTTCCCTGCCAGCATATTTAAAAATACAGCTTTCATAAAAGTTTTATTTCTTTCTGTGGAAGCTCTTATCAAAGGTCACATAACTTCGTGTGGTTGCAAACTTCCTGTTGAACATATTCTGATGTCTTGTATGTGTATATACAATGATGTAACTGTAAAATACCATTCCTAGAGCATAAATACCACACCTGAGAATTGCATGTATTTAGGAGTTGGTGTCACAAGTCTGTAAATGTACCTTTAACTATGATAAATGGATTTATTTAATGCTTTTTTCCAGAAGGAAAATAATAGTGAAATGATGCTATTTTTTTCTTTTGCCACATGCTGATATGTGTTTATATAGCATTACTGTTGTATTGTATTTCTCACTCTTAATTGCATAGCTGTAATTGATGTAACAGTGGGAAATGCTATTGGTGTGTTTTTTTTGCATAGACTGATTTTGAATATAGTTTATGGAATAGGTAATTTTTTGTCTTGTCATTAACAGGATAGCAGTAAATGAACATGCTTTCATGATCTCCCACTTGAAAATAATTGACCGGAGCCATAGACAGAAGCTTCAGCTTAAAGCCTTGGACGTTGTTTTATTTGGACCTCTCACCCGTTAGTAACTTTTTGGAGTTTTTTTCTTATCTCTTGATTGTAAGAATTCATCAGAGCATATTTTCTGTGGCACTTGATAGTATAGATAGGATAGCTTATCAATTTTGTGGATGTGCTGATTGATTGCTTGGCATGCCTTGTGGAAACTCTGCAATGAATTGAAAAAAGTTGTTTAGGTGCTGTGAGCAGGACAGAGGTTCATTTCTGTTCGTAAAACCGTGTAGAAATTTTAGTATAAACTCACTTGACAAGTGGGTGTTGGCTTTTGTGTCACAAGAACTGTCCTCTAAATTTTTGAGTGTTTAAATTACGTTTATAGCTAAGGTTACATTCACTTCTCAGTTAGCTTGGACAGTGAAGCTGGGATGCTGAAATGCGAGGGGATGACCTTCCCCAAGAAGAAAAAAGGAGATGGTGATGCAAATCCAACACCTGTGTCTTTTGTGCATACTTGAGTTTAAGTGCAGTTAAATTTAATGCAGGAGTCCCACATCTGACCCATTTTACCATGTGCAGCCATGTCCATACCACATCACCAGTGCTCTGCATGCTCTGCATGCTTGCTCAGACACAGTTACAGCTCTGCTCTGGTACTGTGTGTGTCAGGTGTTCCTGAACTAGTCAGGCCAGATCTGAGCTGCGGAATTTTAGGGGGGAAACAAAAAGCACTTTGTATTAGACTGTTAATGCTCACAGAAACTGTCTTTACAGAGGTGCAAGTGACGATAAAAGTTGTACTAACGAAGATATGTTATGTGAATCTTGGATATAATAAATTGACAGTCCAACTAGTGCTGCTGTTACCATTTTAAAATGTACTTTATTTTTTCCAAGTGCATTTTTAACTCAGCATAGGGCATTCAAAAGGGTGCAGGCTGGGGAGAATTTGCTCAAATCTAATTACACCTACTACTGGCCTGATAAAGTGCAATTGTGGAACTCTATTTTAACTCTAAATAAAGATACGGAGTGTGTAGTCTAATGAATGTTTTAGTATAGATTAGGTAAATTGTATTAGAGCAGAGCTGCTTATTTTGTATGGAAAATGCTGTGGAATACATTTGGAAGGTAGTTGTTGGAAGTGGTTTGAGGTAAATGAGCTAGAATTCTCTTTAGCATCAGGTCACCTTATAGGCCGGGAGAGGGGGGGAAGGCCTTAGTCTGTTGTCTGTCTCAATGAACTAGTTAATGATGGTGTTGTTCTCTGCACAGGTCCCCCTCACAACTGGATGAAGGATTTTATATTAACAGTTTCTATAGTTATTGGTTTTGGAGGCTGCTGGTTTGCATATACACAGAACAGAACCTCAAGAGAACATATCACAAAAATGATGAAGGACTTAGAAAGTCTCCAAACAGCAGAGCAAAGTCTTCTTGACTTGCAGGAAAGGTATAAAACCTAAAAGAAAAAAAAAAAAAAAAAAAAGTTGTCCTTTTGTTTTGAGGTTAAACACAAATGGAGATCTTTTACTGTCTTAAGTTTTTTGCATTAACTGCCTTTGGATTTTGTACATCTTCCCTTTGCATGGAAATTGTGATTTCAGTGGTGCTGATTTCTTGGGTAGAGATTGCCCCTGGATATTTTAGCAGGCAATACAAACTTGTGGATGAAGGTAGAGAATAGAGGCTCAGTCTTTTTTCCTACAGATTTGCAAGTATGTATTGTATTGTTATTTTCTTATAATCACAGTTTATTTTAAATAGTTAGATACATGGGAATGAGGACATTTTTTCTCTTTTTAAGCTTTTTAAGATTGAAGCAGACCTGAACTGATTAGCTTCTCTTGCATATATAGCAGTGTGGGAGTTGATAGTTTGTGTTTCACCTGTAACACAGTTGTCTATAGAGACTTGTATTTTGATACTACACTTTTAATGATGGTTCACTTAGAAGCTTGGATATTTTGCCTGGCGTGGATATCACGTTGTGTGATGTAATTGCTGCTGATTCATGAAGCTTGCAGAGTCTTTATTATCACAGAGTGGTTGAGGTTGGAAGAGACTTCTGGAGTTCATCTTGTCCGGCCCCTCCTGCTCAAGCAGGATCATCTAGAACAGGTTGCCTAGGAACATGTCCAGGTGGCTTCTGAATATGTCCAAGGACCTCCGTCTCTACCACCTCTCTGGGCAACCTGTGCCAGTGTTCAGTCACTCTCATGGTGAAAGTGTTTCCTGATGTTCAGACGGAACCTCATGTGCTTTGGTTTGTGCCCATTGCCTCTTGCCCTGTTGCTGGATGCATTTTGTTATCCTGAGGACTGCAAGTTTTAACAATTATGCTGTGTATTTTCTCATATTTTTTGTTCAATTGTGAAGGCTTGAGAAGGCACAAGAAGAGAATAGAAACGTTGCTGTTGAAAAGCAAAATCTGGAGCGCAAAATGATGGATGAGATCAATGATGCAAAACGTGAAGCTCATCGCCTAAGGGAATTGAGAGAGGGAGCTGAATGTGAGCTCAGCAGGCTCAAATATGCAGAGGAAGAGTTAGTACAGGTATCTGCCAGCTGTTTATAAATTTAGTGTTGACTTTAAATCAGTCCTAGTTTTATTACATCTTCAGTAGTGTTTAAATTAGCATTCCCCAAATGCTAGATTTGAATGGAAAAATTCTGGGAGCACTTAATGATTGTCTGTCAATCATGGCATTATCTAAAAAGATAATCCTGAAACTATTAGAAACTGTAAACTTTGTATATTAGTTTATCATAATATTCTGGGATTTGCTGAACAAAAATACATACAAAAGCTTTTTTAATCTTGTTATTAGAAGAGCAAGAGTAGCTTTGTTTCATCTGAGCAGCAATAAATTTGGATTTATTGTACTAAAAAAAATTATCATATTAGAAAAATATTTGAACTTTGAATTAGGAATGATATATTATTGGAAAAAATGTGGAAGGTCATATGCTGGATTTCAGAGATGCCAGATCTGCATACCTGACAACAACTGGCACACACCAAAACTGTCAAGCGTTGGTATGTTGCTGTGGGGTAAAAAGTAGGTGCTTATAATTCACCTGTTAGTTCTTTTGGTGACACTTTTATTTCTTTTTGATTGCTAGGTTCGTATGGCTTTGAAAAAGGCTGAGAAGGAGTTTGAGTTGAGAAGTAATTGGTCTGTTCCTGAAGCTTTGCAGAAGTGGCTTCAGTTAACACATGAAGTCGAAGTACAATATTACAATATCAAAAGACAGCATGCAGAAATGCAATTAGCAATTGCTAAAGATGAGGTAATAAATAATTCTTCAGCTACTTAAAGATTTTTCTGATTTGTTGCTAGAGATATGAAATAGTAAACACAAAGCAGTAAAACACTTGTGCTTTTTTCTTAGCATTGTTGCTTGCTACCTGTCAGTATCACTAGTGTTTTGTCATCTGTTAAGTATGCTACTAGTTTTATGCATTTCACTTTACTTTGCTTTTTAGGCAGAAAAGATAAAAAAGAAGAGAAGCACTGTATTTGGAACATTACATGTTGCACACAGCTCCTCCCTGGATGAAGTGGACCATAAAATTCTTGAAGCAAAGTAAGAGGGTTATCAGGACAGGATGCATATTCTTATATTCATATTCCATTCCTGGAACAATGGTATTTTTGAGAGAATGTCTTAGTGGTTTTGCACTTTAGAAAAGCAATTTAAAAAATACTAAAATGTGAATATTTCAACTGCTGTAATGGATCTTCTGGTATGCTGGAATGAATATGTTGCTTTGCTTTATCAATTAGAACAGTGTATATGATTTTAATATGTGCCTTTCTTCAGGAAAGCACTCTCTGAGTTGACGACGTGTTTGCGAGAGCGTCTTTATCGATGGCAACAGATTGAGAAGATTTGCGGGTTTCAAATCGCACACAATTCTGGGCTACCAAGCTTGACCTCCTCTCTCTACTCTGATCACAGCTGGGTAGTTATGCCTCGAGTTTCCATTCCTCCCTACCCAATTGCAGGGGGAGTTGATGACTTAGATGAAGACACTCCTCCAATAGTGTCACAGTTTCATGGTAAGTGATGAGCTCAGTAAAAAGAGAGGGGAAAAATTGTGGGGATGTGGCATTTTCAAGTCAGGTGGGAGAAGAGTAGAAGAAATCAAGCAGGATTAGGTCCAAGTCAAAAGGACCAAAATTCTTCATAGCATTTCAGATATTAGATCTAATGGACTTACAAAAATGAAAACTTGGGTTTTGCAATAAAGATAACATGAAGAAAAAGCCTTTATTTTGTTTCAGTGGGAGTGTGGGGAAAATTCAGCTAAGATTTTTAAAGTGCTTGTCAACCTTGGATCGCTACTGAGAAAAAAGTTTGTAATGAATAATGCTGAGTTTCTGTGAGCTCATTTATTCTATCAGATGGAAGGGATGTAGTCCAGGGTTCCTCAAGCTTTGAGGAAGATCACATCCTTTGGGGGGGCCCCATGCTACATAGCATGGTGCACGTTCTTTAGTGGTTGTAACAAAATCCCGTTGTTCAAGGGAAGCTTTCAGGCAGAATGTTTGTGTTTGGATACAGTGGGTTGTTTGAGTGTCCATCAGAGAGGCCAAATTCTGGAGGGAGAGAACTCCAACTTTGGTTAAACTGTGATCAGAAGATACACGCTGGGGATTCAGACCACCCTGATATCATGAGTCATTGTGTCAGAACAAGAGCCTGTTTGGTAGAGGATGTGATTAACTGGACTCTAGAGGCAAATCAAAAAGATGAGCCCCCATACAGCTATTCAAACAAGCTGTTTTAAGCTGAGGAATGAGTAGGAAAGAAAACTGTCATGTGGGTATATGTTTTTTCCAGGGCTAGGATTCTCAGAAGAAATGCAAACTGTATTTTAAAATAGCATAAGATTGCCCTTTTGCTGGCTTCATTTAATGTGTCTTGGGCACTTGTTTTCCTTCTAAATGTACCAACCTTTTTTTCTGCAGAGCACACTGAAAAGTTCATTAATCTTCTTGCAACACTACTAACTGCAAATTCTGATCACTTCTGAGGAATGGTGTTACTCTAGCTCTCTTCAGTGCAAATACTTTGATTTAAACCCTAGTAAAAAATTTATTGGAGACCATATAAAATACGGATGCCTAGAGTTAAGCTTCCAATTCTATATAGAGGAGCCTGTGGTCTGATTTCAAAATGAAGAGCTCCATTTATTGTCATGATTTTCCAAATGGTCTACAATGACAACACCTGGATATGTGTAAAAGACTTCAGACTAGTGGATTTTTTTAGTCTCTTCTCATTTAACTCTTGTTTAGAAGTGAAGCCAGAGAAGAGAGTGCTGTTGATTCAAAGGAACTACAATTAGAAAAGGACTGTACTGTTTGTAAGAGCATACTTAGCTGAAACTTTACTGTATGCTTTTGCAATTATGATTTTTTTTTTTTTTGCTAAAGATCAATTAATTTGCAAGTATTTCTTTCTCAGTGATAATAGTAATCTCAACCTCAGTAACACTACAGATACTTTTTTTTTTTCTTTTTCCTTCCTGAATTTTGGTAAGGCACAAGAACCTGGTGTTGTTGAAATTATCACATGAAGGAAGTAGCTTGTCCTTACTTAACTAGCTTTTAAAATTTCTTTTTGGTAAATAAAACATGGAAACACTTGGGAGTGGGAAAGGAGAGGAAAATATGCTAAATGATCTGTTGCTGAAACTAGCATTGAGAAGTCAAATTATTGTAGGTTAGTTCAGTAACTGCTGAATTATTTCCATCATTTAAACAAAAATAACAAGTGCACATGAGGAAGGACAGAAGCAAAATTACTGGTCCTGGTCTTTTTCAGGCAAAATTCATTGTACAGGAGGTCACTTAAAAAAGGGGCTGTTTCAGTCACTGGATCTAAAGTGGATTGGGCTACTGCCTTGCCCCAGCATCCTTTGGACTTATAAGACTGACAAAATTTGAAGTCTTGTTGGACAGGCTTCTTTGTGCCAGAGCAATTGCATTGATAGGCTAATGTGGTGTCAAGTAATAGAGTTTGATCAATCTCAAGCTGAAGAACAAAAATGGATTAAGAAATAGTGTCTGACATTGGAAAAAAGTCCTTACAGCGGGAAGGTGATAGTGAAACTTCTACTTTTCCATTGACTGAGTAGGATTCAGCTGATTCCTTGATTTACTGAGTTTCATTTGGACTGGAAAATTCTACATGTTAAGTTGTCACAGCTGAATTCTTCATATTCCTGTGTATATACACACCTACAAAGAATCAAAATGCTTGTTACTTCTCTCAAAAGTCACTGATGGTGCAATCTTGGTTTTGTTTTGGTTGTTTTTTTTTTATTCCCCTCAGGGTGTTTTTTTTGGTTTTGTTTCTTTTTTTGTAATACCAGGAAGTAGGATGGCATCTGATTTACCTGGACCTGTAGCACAAATTTCCTAAAGTGATTCTTACTCTCCTGTCTCAGTTCACCTTTTCTCTTTGAGGAATTATTTTTGTAATGACATAAGATGATTTTTGAGCTCCCAGCATGCTTTTAAGGTCAGTAGGGAATTCCTCAAAAGTAAAATTAGAAGTTGGAGTTACATGGCAACACTCATGTTGAGACTTGCAAGCCTTTCTTTCTTTCTCAGGAGTGGAAATAAATCTATACATCAGTAAAGGTGCAGATACTTACTGTTTAGTGAAAGTTTTGATTTCCTGTCCTAAGAGAGTGGACAACTTGTCCTTTTCTGAGATTCCAGGAAGGGAAACTGTAACTTACATGATGATAAACTGGCATTGCAGAAAATAAAATGTATTTTATCAGGCTAGACAACTTTTAGCATGTTGTGTTTGTTAAACACTTTAGATCACCAGTAAGGGTCTGATATATCTTACATAAGCAGTGTTGCATTCTGTGGGACAGTTTGAGGATGGGTATGAGGCATCCTGAGACTTGTAGCAGCTAGCCTGAAAACAAGTCTGTAGATTTATTTCTGTACAAGTATTGCTGCCTAATAATCTTTTGAAGGAGGAATTGGATTGATCACTTCCTGTTGGGTACTTTGCTGATGAGGTCTTGTGAGGCTGTCCCCACTGATTCTTAGTGGTTTTGCTTCTGGAAATTTATAGTTAGCCTGGCAAGAGACAGTGTTATCTAAGAGGAAGGTCTTGAGCTTATAATGAGGTTGAATTATGTATTTTCTGTCATGTTACATAAATGAAATTTCTCTATCTAACCTACTTTTCAACTACTGTAGTGTGTATCAGTTGGCTGTTTGGTTAGTCATATCTACATTGCAAAACTTTTACATTTTATTCTAACCTGCAAATCACCACACAATTAAAATACAGGTCATTGTGTAACATACTAATTTCAGCACTGCTATTTTTAGTTTACGAAGGGTTGGGAGTTTCAGTAGAATCTTTCTTTTTGTTCTCAAGAGAGCAGAGTGAACCAGAGCTTTGGTGTACTTGGTCAGGCACAAAATCTCTGCAGTTGCATCTTGATTAGCTGCTTCATCTAACTGTAGAATGTATGAGGTGTGCCAGTCTTTCTTCCTCTGAATCTGTCAAGCGATGTCAAAGTTGTTTAAAAGTCACTGTCACTGAAGCAGAGATCTGCTACTTAGTCTTCAGAGTAGATACTGTTAACATCAATGTCACTTGGAGGGTTTGGTTTGCTTTTTCTCTGCCTCAGGGTCCATTGTAAAACCTTCCAGCACACTGGCAAGAAGCAGTAGCTTGTGTAGATCAAGACGCAGTGTTGTGCCATCATCTCCACAGTCTCAGCACGCTTTGCAGTCCCCTGACCCTGACATCCTTTCTGTGTCGAGCTGCCCAGCTCTCTATCGAACTGAAGAGGAGGAAGAAGCCATTTACTTCTCTGCTGATAAACAATGGTACGGAGATTAGCAAACAGCACTTGGAACTCTTGATAGGATTATTGAGACTAACAGTTTAGAATTAGAGGTTAAACCAAGCCAAAAGTTAAAGTAATCTATAGGATAATATAAATTAATATAGTCTACATGGAGCAGAGAGTTCTTGTCTGGTATGTGTATGTAAATAGCTAGCATGTCATGTACAGTAAAGTAATGTTACAATCCAGGGTGCACTGAACTAACCCTGATTCTCCATTACAATATGTTACTGGCTTTTACATCTGAAACTAGGATCAAAAGCAATGTCAGCTACTGGGCGAAGAGGAGATGGATGGTAACACAATTCTTACAGCATGTTGAGCGTGTACCTACTCTTGTTACATGGCCTCATAGGAAAAGGTTAAATTCCTTTTGGAAGGAGCAAATGAGCTTGTTGAAAGGTAGGGACACTTGTCCTGAAGAAACTTTTCGTGTATGATAGGCTTAAATCTCCTTCTTTCATTTCATAACTTTTCTGACTTCACGTGCCAGAAAGATAGATTTTGTTCTTTGAAGTGAGATACAAATGACTGATTCTGGGCAGATGCTGCTGCCCACAAAAGCAAGATTGCACAAACTAATTCCCTTAAGTTTAGATAATAAAATGATGTAATGCAAGTTGTAACTTAAAATGTTTAACTAATTTTTTTTTTTTTTTTAATTTACTACTAAGAAAAAGTGTGGGTGGTGCTTTTGACTAATGTTATTGATTCTAAATTAATTTCCTTGTTAACTGTATGAAGGAAATTGTAGCTTCATTATATTTTCTCTTCTTTCTGCTCTGACTCAGGGAAGTACAGGAAACAGGTTCGGAATGTGACTCCCTAAATTCATCCATTGGAAGAAAACAGTCTCCTCCAGCAAGTCTTGAGATGTACCAGACAATTTCTCCTCAGAAAGTATCACCAGAAGAATTCTTACTTGAGGAATCATCTATGGGAGACTCCTCTTCTCTAACTGCAGATATTTCTAGGGGCTCTCCTGACTGTGTAGGCATGGCAGAAACTAAGAGCATGATCTTTAGTCCTGCAAGCAAAGTTTATAATGGAATCCTGGAGAAATCTTGCAGCATGAACCAGCTTTCAACTGGGATCCCAGTCCCAAAGCCTCGTCACACCTCATGTTCTTCAACCGGCAGTGATAGTAAACCCAGCCATGAAGCTGCTTCTGTCCCTAGGATAAGCAGCATCCCACAGGACCTCTACCAGAATGGTGAAAAAAATAAAAAGCCATCAAAAATAAAAAACCTCTTTAAGAAGAAGTGTAAATGAGGTGGGCAGAAGAATCTATAGTAATATTATAAGAACTCTTATTTTTTAAATCTTTAGGAATGTAATTCCATTTGAGCATTCCAGACTGGATGCCCTAATGGAATACTCTGTAGGTCACCTATATTTAATGACTGTACTGTCAACGGTTGTGCCAGCTGTCAATGAGAAATCATTAAAAAGTTCAGACAGTTTACATTAATTTCTGCCTATTTATTTCTTTATTTTTTTAGTTTTTCTTTTTCAGCCTTTTTTTTTTTTTTTTTAATTGATTTGTTGGGCTTTTTTAAGTTTATTCATAAACCATTTTTAAGCCACTTTGGACTCCTAAGCTTTAATGGACTAGTAAGCCTTCTTGGGCTTGCCAAAGTTTCTTGTTTACTGGAGCATCTTCCTATCTTTCCATAGAAATAGGACATTTATCTACTGGACTTTAACAAAAATAAAAGAAGTAGAACTAAATGAGTTGCACTACTGTTTTACAGACTGGAACAGTCTCTGCAAGTGAAACGGAAAGACTTGTATTTGACTGAGAAGATGAATCTTTTCACTTTTAGATCTTTTGGGGTTTTTAAGTAGAATTTAGCATTTCTAATTGACTTGATTTCTGGAAATGGAAATGTCATGCTTTTATTATGGGAAGCTTTGTTAGATGCATTTATTATTAGAATGGTTCAAGTCCTGCTGTAAAGATCATTTTTTTCCCAGGACTTTCACTGTGATTTTAATTCACTGCAGGCTGTATGACAAACAAAAAAAAGAAAAAAATGGAAGAAAAAAAAAAAAAGAAAAAAAAAGTAAATTACCAAGAGAACAGGCTCTTGATTCCTTATGCAAGATGGTTGTGAAACTTGACTGAAGACTGAAAAAATTCACCCTCTCAAAATGAGGAGGGGGAATAGTAGCTTTTGTTTACAGATTGACAGACAATGGACATTTGGGTTGCGAAAGTTTGTACTGTGGTAAAGATAATAAATTGGAAACATTATTGTGCTTGGGAATGTTCCAATTTTAGCTGATGCTTGTTTCAGACATGTTTCAGAGGTCCTGTTAATTGGAAGCTGTTGTAGGCTACATTGCTTATGCTTACTGCTGTGTATAAGTTATTATATTTTTTGAATTAGCTATTATTGTCTTAATGTCCTCCTTTTGTAAGATTTCATACACTTTATTTTTGTATAGTTTGAAGATTTAGCTGTTCAAAGATGTCTGAAGTAAATAGTATAATTTTATAATGCGCACTGTTATACTAACTCATAATTTTACATATAAAGATAGATATAAAGGTGAGATGACATGCTTCAGATAAAAGCAATTTTTGTGAAGCTTTTTTAGGGAGAGATGAAATTACTGTGAGGTAACAAGGAAGTCTTCTTAGGATAGCAGTAGCTAGTTGTTCAAAAACATCTTTTTATTTTTTTTTAACAGTTGGAGACAAAAAATGTATGGCTTAAGCAACAGTGCCTTTTATTCAGTTTGAAAATATTAATACTGAGCAGGAATTTCTTCCAATTCCAAAGAAATATTTCCTGTTCTAGTCAATAGAAGCAATTTACCCAGTGATGACTAAACAGTCTCAGATCTTCCATGGGGGTGTTCCAGTTGCCTCAGTAGCAGGTGCCACTGCCAGGGACTTGTGATTAGGGGCTCACTTCTTGCCAATATGTATGTGATGTACTGTATGAAAGAATTATTTCGCAGACTGCCTACATTTTTTCTAGTAAGGAGCCTTCAAAACCTGTAGCTAATTGAAATCAAGTGATGTGTCTTTTCTATAGTTTTCTTTTTAAGTTCCACTGTACATACCCAATATAGTTCTCTCCTCAAGAAGTGATGGTGATTTTAATAGATTCATTGTGGTTAGTGACATGGTTGAAAGAGAGTGGTTATAAAAAGGGGTGGAGACCTTGCATGTGCAAGTACTTTAGATGTCCTGGTACACTGGTTAATTCCTTAAGAGAATGGATATAATCCAGAGTTTTGTTGTCTGACTGATTGTAGGCCATGTATGCAGAAATGCATGGGATAAATCAACTGTGTGGTAAAGTTTGGAGAAGAAAAAATTGGTGGAATAGAAAATAATGAGTACATAATGTTGTTCCATTATTCTCTGAATCATCAGGTTGAACAGCTGTAGCTTAAAAAATACCCCAATGTAATCACAAGGTAACAATGGTCTCTTTGAACAAGGATTGTACATCTGAACATGGCAGACAACAAAAAACAGTGATGAAAAATGTTGTGCTGAAGAACCACCTCAATGCTGAGCCTTCAAGAGCTGCAGTTTAAAGCCTGATGAAGTACTTGAACATCTACTAAGGGAACAATTTTATGCAAGTAGGGAAGTCACTGTGCCTCCCAAACAACACAGAGAAGACTACTACCAGAAAAATCTTCATGCACTTGAGAAGGCTATAGCAATAATTGAGTTTAAAATATCTGGGGCTGGATAGTAGATCTTGGTGTGAGGTTTGAGTAACTCTGTCTCTATCATTACCAAAAAAGATGAAGTGGTGTTTTGGTACAGCGAGCATTTTTGGAGAGTAAACATTTACACATGGAAAAAAAAACTGGTACTGAGTAATGGAAGGGCAGCACTTCTTAATTATGGTATCAAAATTGGGCAAACTCAAATCCTGAGAAGCCAAAACAGACAGATTCAGTTTTCTGTAGTAGGTATAACTAAAAGTGAAATAGAGGAGGTATTGAGCTCTTCATGGCTGAGAGTTAAAGAATTAAATATATTTTTAAAAAAACCAATTTAACTACTTTCTGGAAAAAATTATATTTCATGATGTTGTTCAAACAAATCAGGTGAGGGTATCATAATGATAGATTCTGGCTTCAAAATGGCAAACCTTTGGAGCACAGACCCAACACTCTCAACGCTCAGTGTATCACCAGCTGTCCTGTAACTTTATAGCTGCTTCTTAGTAAGTGTTAGAGAACAAAAAGCTTAAATTAATAGTCAGAAGTGGTGAGTATTATATGTTGGAGCACAAACTAATTTTAGGTTGAGTTTACTTCTTATTATTTTAATAGCCACTTGGATTTCTTGCCATTTAAATTTGTCCACAATGAAAGTGGCTTCCATTGCTCCTACTGCAGAAATTCCTGTCTTCAGATGGTTCAAGTCATTTTACCGAGGGACGTTGAGAGCCCTGGCTCTAAGGTAGATCCTCACTGGCGGCCACCAAACCCAGTCATAGCGTTGAAATACCTGGCATATGCCCACATCTGAGAAGTGAGACAACATGCCCCAAAAGGTTCTCTGTTCCAGCTCCACTGGCTCACAGTGTAACTTGAACTTGCTGGCAGGCAGGGAGTCCAGCCAGCATTCCAACCACTAGGATTCATAGGACATATCAGTCACTTGAGAGTCAGCTAGTGTCAGCAGAGATTGGTTTGTGGGCTTTTTGTTTTGTTTGTTTGTTTTGGATGTTTTTTCGCTCTTATAGCTAAAATACATGGTTTTTTTTTTAATTTTTTGGTGTTTCAGAAGATGAGGCTCTTTGCTATTTATGTGTTTTGTTAGAGTACTTTGTTAGGACAGCAGCTCCTTTATGGAAATTGCCTAAATGATTTCTCCCTGTTTAACCATGGGGAATGCTTTTACCATCTTACAATGGACTTAGAGATTAAAACAGTTGATCGTGTTTGGGTTTTTTGGTTTTTCATTTTGGTTGGTTCCCCTCCATCCTTCATTCCTACTGCTCAGTGATGGAACTTAAAATTGTTCATTGACAATTCCAGGCATATGCCCACTTTTCTTCCCTTGCTGGTACTTAGGTAGCAGATTACCCTCTATTTCCTGGAGGGCAATTTGCTGAAAGAGGAAAAATTCTCAATCATAGTTCAAGTAGTAATATTAAAGAATATAGTTCCTTTTTTGGAAGCCTAGAAGATGATGAAGCCAAGAATACTTGATTTCTGTTTTCTTACAATATTTATGGATGCCATCTGGAATTAGGCAGTAATTTACAACTGATTGAAAGCCTAAAAAGATAAAGCTAATAAGAAATTAAAGCTTTCAAGATTTTTTCCTTTTGCTCCCCAAAATATGGGAACATGGCATGCACAGGAGGGAAATGAGCTGATTAGCATTTCTTGTATCACCAGCTGTTAGATTTTCAGGATAATTTCATTCCATTTCCACGATACATTGCTGGAGAGGGATTGCTACCTTACTTTCATTAGTATATAATGAAATATTTTTTTTTTCAATTTAATTACAAGCATATTTCTGAGCAGTGGAGAATGTAAATCATTTTTTTTTAGAGCCAAATAGAGGACTTACCAATTCTTGGACTGCTTGTCTGTTTGCTTATCTCCTTGTGCAATATGTTAAGTAGGATAAACTCATTTTTCTATTCTGTTCCAGTTGCCCTTACTATATAGGGGTGTGTTACTATCTCATGTTTGAATCAGCTCCAAATTGCTTGTAGGCATTTTAATCCTGGATGTTCCATCTTCTTGTGATTCATGGTGAAGCCCCCTATGCCAGGTTGAGTCTTAAGTGCTGCTAACATTTTCTGCTAGTGACACAGATGTTGGGATAACTAATAACTAAAAATTGCCTGCAGATTTTGGCTGCCTGACAGTGTGTAGATGTTTAGGTGACCGTTTTTCGGGGTTTTAGTAGCAGTTTGAATGCGTCATACAGGTGTTCCACAGATGATTTTTGATTCCAACCCAGTGCAGATGATGTTTTTCTGACTCTCCACTTAGTCCTCTGTTACGTTAACAGAACACAGCAATTCATACAAATGGTAACAATATCAAGTTTTACACTATTATTCCTGAGTGCTCTTGCATCTGACATTGCTTAAGCATATGGCAGTACTTCTCAATCCACTTCAGGCATTCAGAAATAAAGTAGATTTGTGTTATCTTTGGCTTTCTTAACAACTTAAAATCTCAAGTTTACCAAATTTTGTGTGTGTGTTCTGTGTATTTAATAAAATGAAAAGTGGGAAGGTTGATTTCTTCTTAGATGTTAAAGATAACACATTTGAGCAAGGTAAAAAGAAATGCCTCTTGCTCATTGGAGAGGATGAAAAATGTTCAGTGGTATTTAATCTCCTCCTAAAGAACACTCACAGTTTAGATTGCTGGAGATAAGAGGTACATTCAATTTCAAGGCTTTCAGATCAGTAACTTCTTATCCAACAAAAGACCCCACTTTCTTCTTTAGGTGTACTCTTCAGGGCATTACCTTCTTATTTCTAACCTCTCTTCTACTTTTCACCCAGCATTAAATTTAGTAGTTACAGTACTAACCAGGGTGATTGCCAGACCTTAGAGAAGCTTCAGATAAATTTTAGTAGCATGTCTTAACGTATGTTTTGGTTCAGTATGTGCTAAAGACATCTGAATCAAAACTTTGTCCTTCACATTCCTTTTATTTTAATTCAACTCAGTTCTTTGTGATCCCTCTCCTGTTAAAAACATAAGCAGGTACTGGTAGTTGTTTATAGTATAGAGAACTAGAGGTTTTTTTTCACTTGGGAAATAATATATAAATGGTAAATAGTTGCCTTTTAAAGACTTTGTCACAGTTGGATATTAGTGTAAAAACACTACTGTACTTCAGGCAGATGAGGTAGAGAGAGCACTGGCTAGTGTGATTTGTGTATGAGTGGTAAAGTTATCCTTTAATAATCCTTTGATTGTTTATTTGTGTCTTAAGTTAATGCTGCACAATTCTTTTCAGACTTGAATTCATTTAAAATTTAGGTCAGTATGTCCAACCCTGCAAAAGTCAGTCTTCAGTTGTCAGCCATCACTCCATGCTTACAGAAATTAATGACAATCTTGAGTATTTGTACTAGCTTGTTGGGTAGTAGAGTGGATTCTGGTAAGTCTTCAGGTGAAAGGCAGAGAACTTCTGAAGTAGGTAATCTGTGTTCTTTATCAGCTTTCAAATCCATCTCCTAGTAAGATGGGGTCTCCCCAGGGGAATGTCGATGTACTTACTGCTTGGAACTTTGTAGTTAATTATATTTGGCTCTCTAATTCTAATAACTTGCATGTGTGCTATGCTTGCTTGCTTTTCAATAGCTGACAAAATCTATAGAAGATCTTGGGAGTTTGTCTTGAAAAAATGCTGTTAAAAAAAAAAAAAA